GACCATGGGCCTCTTTTTGCTAACTATTTTGTCTCTCCAATAATGCCTGTTTTTAGCTTCTCTCATGGGACATTGCGGTATTAACCTTTCCCCACCTTGTCACCTTTCAGTAAATGTTAGCTACACCTAGCTCTATTAGTTGGAAATTAGCTCATTTTATAAAGGAAGCTGCAGAGGATATGCAGTAGCCTTGGGTTCGTCCACCCTGTTTATGAAGGCAATTGTAAAATGTCCTGCCTAAATGACAAGAGATGTTCTCAGTCCATTCTTGCTAGTTTCCCCTGGGCTCTCTTCCAGGTGCTGGTCTTATGAATGAAGTCTTACAGCATAAAATTTTGAGCAAACTAAGCATGATACCAGATAAAGTTTTAAATTAATTTTCCCCAAGTCTTTACATATGTGCAAATAATTAGTTGCTTGTGAGTTTTTAGCGATTCAAGTCATAAGCTTAGAAAATACACTTAAGAAACTTCAGTATCTATATTACCAAAAAGTGTAGATTTGGCAACTAGTTTTTGAAAATTTGGTCTTTAGAGGTCTGAATCTCAGCCTTAAGGTAAATTTAAGATAGTTTTACTGACAAAGAGAAGGAAGGAAAATACTATGCTTTGAAGTAGAAGTATTATATGCCTGGTTTTTTGGCTGCAGCTTTTATGACATAGTAAAGAACCATAATGATTTTTTCATTTTTAAAGAACTGCTGAGGGGCAAAAAGAGCATTCACCCAACAGCATGCTGCACTAACTTAAAGCAAAACTCAAAAACCCAATGTTCAGAAGGGAAAAAAATGCATTTTCTTTTGAAAAATTGTATAAAGGAAAGAAGTAAAATCTGCAAGTCATTCAGTGCAAAATATATGTTTATGAACATATAAAAGACAAAATTCCTGCTTTCAGAGAATTTTATAGGCCAGAACACAAGTGAGAAAAATGGTTTTAGAGAAAATTATAGGTCATGAGATGGAGCAGATGCTTCATCAATAAGGGAAGCCTCCCACCACCCCTGAAAAGGCAAGCTCCCATTTCCTCTTTACTAGTAGATTTTCAGATCTTTACACTGAAATAAGTATGCTTTAGTGCTCCAGGCAATAAGAAATCATCTTTCAAATTTCCTTTCCTCCTGCCTCTTAAATGTGCCCTATCTTCTGTAGGAGTCCTTAAATGTTGGCCTTCTGGCTGGCTTTCACATTGCTATTGGTTGAAAACACAAAATAGACATTTCTAGGAACACTCCATGAAATTGGTGATATGACCCTATGCATGAAGACCTTCAAGAGGTGAAAAGGAACTGAACATACAGAGGGCTGTAAATTATGTCTGTGTTTTACCTATGAGACTTCAACATGCTCAGATGTTCATGAATTGTATTAATTCTGGTTTGTGGACCTGGATGTGGGCGGTGAAGAATTAACCAAAGGAGCCAGCCATGAGACTGTTGAATAGCTGGCAGAACCAAGCAAATAGAAAAAATAAAAATTTCCACAGTTAATTTTTAGTGAGCCAGTGATATGTTTCAATGTATAGCTTACATTTAAATTTGCTTTCCAACAACTTTTTTAAAAACAGGTATGTCCCATAGCCTTGATAGACAATAAAGACTGTTTAGCGAAGCCTGACTTTGTCTTGACGCCATTGAGCTATAGCCCTACTCCAGTCACCTCTCTTGTACCCAGAAATTAGTTTGTACTAAACTAGGGCTGGAAATATGCACAACTCCAGGGGGCACTGTTCACATGCACTCCTGCATGAATAGTGCAATGTGAAAGTCACCCTGGGAGCTGTGCCACATTGTGGAGCTTCTACTAGAAGGGGTGGGGAACGTCCGGCCCACGAAATCATTTGGTCTGGCCCTGCCAAGACAACTGTAGGCAGGACTCAAAATTCAATAAATCTAGGAGTTTTTTCCATAGCTAATTTTTAAGTTGATAATTTTATATGGTTCTCAAATGATGTTATAAATATCCAAATGGCCCCTCGCAGAAACAGGATTCCTCACCCCTTTGAGATGCCCAGGCTGCTGTGCCACTGTGACTTTTCATTTGAGCCAAGGACTCTAGGTTTAATTGCTAGGGCTTATAATGAGCTGTGAGAAGATGGGTAAGGAGATGACATTTACTCAAAGATCACTGATGAGTGCTTATCATTTAAGTAATGAACTGTAGGCTCTGATGAGAAGCTTAATTTATTAATCTTGTAAAGCCTACAGGATTCTTTGGGTCTCAACCACCCCCTTTTTTGTCTCTTCTCTGATGTTGCCCATTCTCGCCCCCTATTCCAAAGCCTTGTGCACCTCTCTCCATTGGTACCTTTCATCCTTAGTGTGTCTTTCCCCTTACTTATATCCCCTCCTTTTCCTTTTGGCCTCTTTCATCTTTCTTTCTGCTTATAACTTTTATTTCTCTGTTCTGCTATTTTAGGCATCCCCAATATGTCTCCTTTCAACATCCTCACTAATTCAACGTCCTCACTTTGTGGTTCCAGATTGATTTTCCTTCGATGTCTGTGGTCCTTAAGAATATACCAGAAGACATTTGGGGAGTCTAAAGTAAATCTCAACACCCATGACATTTAAAACTGGCATTTCCATCGCACCTTGATCATATTGCAATTTTAAAAATATTTATAATATATGCTGAAGAATATTTTTAAGTGTTTATTTCTGTGCCTGAGACTACTAAAATTCAGGCTGTGTGATACTTAATCTCAAATTTACAAATCTTCCTCATTGATTTTAGAATTCTTTTTTAAAATGCTCAAGTCTATGTAAGAATTCTTCTTAGGCATATGTCTATTTTTCTGTTGACTGTGCACCTACTAGTCTTGCTCCACCCAATAATTACACCTGCAGTAAAGGCTGTCTACAGGCAGCAACAGTCCCATGATTTTACAACTCACATAATGATTCAAACAAATACTAAGAAAAAAAAATTCCCAAATGATTTACCATCTTCTTCAAGAAATTAGAAAATCAATCACAAAATGAATCAAAGGCTAGAAGCAGTAACAGATTCATAGGCATAAGAGCTAAAATAAGTGAGTTAGAAATCAAAATCTGATTCACTGAAAAATTAACGTACAATAGATACAGCACCAAATAAACTAGCGAAGGAGAATAAAACAGACAAAGTGCAAATATACAAAATAAGAATCGCTAAGAGGAGGTAACGGCAGGAACAGAGAGAGTGAAAGGGATCTTAAGGCACTACTTTGTTCAACTGTGGCAAGTAAACCCTTAAAAGTGGCATAAAACTTATTCGATGAAAGCATAATTTGCTAAAATTGAAAAGACAGAGAAAGTTCGAAAGAGACTGGAACTCAGGATTGCTACTCCAGATAAGTTTTTGGCGGAGCTTCAAACAATAAGAACTGAGCGTGGCTGTCCCTGCACATCATGACTGGGTGTCAGCCGTGCCAAAGGCCCCACAAAACAGAAACACTGTCGCGGCTGCCCTTAGGAGAGCACAGGCCACTGGCGGCTGAAGAGGGAATTCCACGAGTTTGAAAGAGCAGATCATTTAAATTACAGAAATTATCTTAGAACTCAGAAAAAGAAAAAATAAATGGGAATTTCGTCTTTAATAAAGACAGCATTTAATATAAAAATGTTGAAGGAAAACAGATGACGCAATAAATGTTGTTGGGACAATTGAGTAGTCAAGTGGTGCAACACCTCACACACACACACACACACACACACACCTTTCATTAGGACAATGAATAAAACATTCAAAATGACTCCTTAAAAGCACCAGAAGACAATGTGACAAAATTGTAATCTTAAAATGAAAAGGGCTTTTTAAAGATAGGTCAAAAGACCCATAAACCATAGTGAAAATTGATAAATTTTATTACACAGAAAAATGACTATATGCCAAAAAATACTATAAGCAAAGTTTAAAGATAAATTAAGAAAATGGTGCAAAAAATAAACATTTGTAGTTCTTACCACAGACAAAGGGACACATTGATTAGTAGGTAAATAGTTCTTACAAAGCAGAGAGAAAAGAAAAGACAAAAGTCCAACAGAAAAATGGACAAAATAAATAGGAGTTAGTCCCACATAAAGAAAAAACAAAAGGCTTTCAACATATGAAAGGTGTTTAAAACACTCATCTTAAGAAAAACAAAAATGAAATCGACTTCTAGAAACTATACTCAGAACGTCAAAACCCAAAAGCCTGTCAGCATCATCTGCTGGAAATACTAGAGAGAATCAAGGCAGTCTCATATATTGACAGGCACTGAGATATATTAAATTTATACAACTCCTTTAACAGGCAATTTGGAAATACCTACCCAAATTACAAAGACATACACCCTCTGACACAGCAATTATATTTCTGAAAATTTAGGTTACAGGCAGTATTCCACATGTAAAACAATACATATGCGAAAGTTTACTTTTGTGGTAATCTGTAGTAGTACACAATCAAAAACAACCAAATGCCAACAAATAGGCAACTGGTTCAATAAATTGTAGTACATCCTTACTAAAGAAAATATCATAACTGATTAAAAAATAATAATGAGAAAATTCTCCAATTACTGGTATGGAAAGTACATTTCTCTAAGAAATATAGTTAAGTGAAAATGCAACAGATATGCTATTTTTTCATGTAACAATGGAGAAGAAATTAAAAGCGTACATATAATTTCTGATATTTGCATTTTATAAGCCCTAGAATGATTCACGTGCAATTAATGATAAGGTGAGATGGGGGTAAATTAGGCATATGAAGGACAGTAATGGGAGGAAGCTTTCACTTTATTAAAATATTGATTTATATTTTATAATAATACCTATTTTAAATATGGGAAAACAGTTTTTGAGAAGGTCGTACTTGTTCATGATAGAATACCTAGGAGGTGGTGGAGCCAAAACTTGAATTAAAAAAGAGAAACTGAGTTAAATACTGTGGCACATGATTATATATAATTTCTATGATTTTGAAATGTAATGTGTTAGAAGAGCAGAACTATTTTAAATAGTGCTGTACTTACCTTACAGTAAAATGTAGAACTTTCTTCTTTGTAGAATCTTGCTTTTTATACAGATATTTCATTTGATCCCTTTTTATCAATGGTTTCTTCAAAGGAAGGACACCGGCATCAGTGGAGGGGAAGAACAGTTTGGAAAGTACACTGGCAATTCTCCATCCTATATATTTGGAGAAAACTTCATCCCCTGCATTTGATGGAACTTTTGAACTGTAACTAGTGAAAGGATCCATGGGGTCATTTAACTCAGCCTGTTAAAAGAAAAGGGAACCAGTTAAGATAGAATTAAATGAGAGGGGAAATAGTGTATTGTTAAATAAAAGATAAAATATATGTTTGTTTTCTTCGGCTAATGTTGCAGTCTTTCTGTTAAATAAAAAATGAGTAGTTTCCACCAAAATTTAAATAACAATTTTCGACGAAATAAAAAATTAAGCAAGAATGAACTTTTGAAAATATAGTGATATAATTTTATTTTAAATTTGTATACTTCCCACAGAAGAATTTCATAACCATTAATAGTATTTATTTAATAAGACATTAAGCAAGTAGTTGAAGTAATGTAGATGTTTTACTAAATAAGAATTTCATTTCTCTGTGCATAATCAAACTTCCTTTGAAGTCAACAGAAAATTTCTAAAGTAAAATATGTGTTAAGTAAAAAACAAAAAGGATTTTGTATTTAGCTTACATTGAAGCTGTTTCAGGATTAGATTTAAATTTAGATTAAATTGAACATGTTCTAACAAAAAAATCCTAACACAAAAGTTCCACAATATTTATGCAATCTATATTAAGGAAAGAGCATTTTCTGTGTTTTCCTGTTTATGTTCAATAATGTTCATGACAGATTTTTAACTACATCTTTTCAAATGCTTAGAGGGATAATTTCCTTGACTGAAATTGGTAATAATAAATGAAAATATAAGTTTCTAAATGTCAAATATTATACTTTTTTATAATGTTCACAATAGGTTGTATACTTTCTTCTTTCATTTAAGTTTCAACATTTTTTTACTCAATGTTAACAATCTTCATGCAGTTGCCAGTCACTAAGGATTCATTTCATATGTCTATTGATCTTATGGCAGAAATTGAAGGAGTGGAAGATGTTTCTTTGCACATGAACATCTAACTTAGTCTCTTTAGGATTCCAAGATCACTCTTATTTCAATGAAATACTGTTTAAAGATTGACTATTCCGTTATTTAGACCAAATTATAGTGGAAAAAAATAAGAACAATTTCATGATAAAGACTGAAAATAAAGGGTTAGAGCAATGAGGAAAACAATAAAGGGCAGGTAAGTAAGTATGGATTATTATAAAAGCCATAGAAGATGGGAAAGAATATCATGCAAAAAATATATATTTTAAAAAATAAAGTAAAAATCATGCAAATAGGTAAGCACCAAAAAATGAAATGAAGACTCAAGAAAGCCTCGAAATGCTAGAAAATTAATATTAAAATTTATAAAGATAACCCTATTTTTACTGTTTCAGAAAAAGAACTTCATCAGTAGTCCTCATTGAAATAAATATATTCTTAAAATATATTTTTTAATTGTTCAAAATATTACAGATGTCCCTTTTTTTCCCCAAAGACCCATTCCACCCCGTCCCATCCCCCTCCCCAATCCCTCTCCCCACCATTGTCCGTGTC